GCCGCTGCGCTCCCACACCCCAGGTGCTGGGCCCATCCCAGGAGCAGGCGACAGGATTCACTGATGGGTCCCTCGGGTCTGGGGCAGGTGCCTGGCTGCCTCCTCCCATCTGGGAGGTGTCTTTCCTGGGCCACGCCCCCAGGTAAGGGGTGACCCAACACTTGGGGGCCACACCAGCTGGAACCCAGGACTCTGCATGGCCACAGAGCCAGGTGGGCCTCCCTGGAGTATGGCCACTGCCAGGGACTCCTTTGCGCCCATGTCCTCTGCAGAGGACGCCATCCCTGTGGCCCACGAGCCACCCCGGCTATACCTGTGGAGAGAGGAAACCTCCCCGGGCTGTCCGAGTCGAAGGCCACTTTGGAGGAGGGGCTTCCCGAGAGACCCTGCACCTGTGTTGGGGCAGCTACAGTCCGTGTGGTCCCAGCCTCTGGGCCGCAAACTCGTCACAGCGTCAGCAGCTTGGAGGGCTCAGCGGCCTCCACATCCCCGCAGCTGTGGTGGGCAGGTGCGGCCGCGAGGCCCGGAGGCTCAGGCCTGTCCAGGGAGCAGGTGTCCGGGGCTGCAGGGCCTCCTGCACCACCCTGGGGAGCCGCTTGCTTGGCTTCCTGTCCCCCACGTCACGCCAGATCCCAGGGGCAGACGCTGGCGGAAATGTTCTGCCTGGCAGCAGGAGGGGCAGAGAGAGCACAGCAGGTGCCCAGAGGCCGCCGCCCGCCAGGTCTCCCCTCCTGTCCCAGCTGATGTCCGTGTCCTCCAAGCGTCCTCTAAGGAGGGCCCGCCAGGGCCGTGTCGGACCCCAGGTGGTCTGGGGGCCAGGGGGCCAACTCAGGAGCCAATTAAACCAAAATGTTCAGGTTTCCTGACGTTTATTACAATGAAGTTAATATCCGTTTCCCATAAAGCTCCCGAGCAGAAGGCAGAGCGTTTCCAACGGCACAGACTGCGGGGGCCGGACGGCGAAATGCCCGCCCCACGTGGATCCCAGTCGGAGTCCGAAACGGCGGAGTCTCTCCACGAATGAAACCTCTCTGGAGTCTCAGAGAAGGGGTCATTCGTTTGTGGATGTCCTCGTTTCCGAGTCAGAAAATGGAGGGCTGAAGAGACCGCGGGCCTCTCGGGCGGCCGGAGGACAGGCCTCGGGCGCAGCTCACGCGGCTCCGGCCACCCTGGCCCGCCCCGGCAAGATCCCGTCCCGCGTGTGCTCCCTGCTGGGCTGTGCCGGGAGCTGGCGGGGTCTTCAGATGGAGGCACTGGGCCGTCCACCAGGCGCTGCCACAGCGAGCCGCGCCGTTTGAAGCCCACAGGCGTGGTGCCCCGGCCGGCAAGCTCCGCGAGGTGAGGGGCCCACAGCCGCGCCCTTGTTTCTGTCGCCCCTGGTCAATTCGCATAAACTGGCTATTCCCGACGTGAGGGTTACCGTCCTCCTCATCCAAAGTCAGGTGGCGGTTTTCACTTCTGTCCTCAGCAACCCCACAAGAGGAAAGTCAGTCCACAGGGTCCGCGGGAGGGGCCGGGTCCCACATCAAGCCTGGGGACCAACACCGTCGGGACGAAAGGCCATGGTGTTCTTGGGCTCCTCGCCGGGCTCCCAGGCCTGCACACCTGAAAGGTGCTTCACCTGTCTCCTCGCCTGAAAACGGGGTAAGCACACGGCCCGCCAGACCTGCTGGCAGGGCGGGGAGCGCAGCCAGTGAGCTGAGGTCCTTCTGCCAAACAGCCCCTCAGCGTGGCTAACTGTTTGGTCACCTGCAAAGCACCGAGAGTCCAGTACTTACCAGACAAGCGACCGGGCTTCTGAGCAGGGAGGCGGGAACCGCCGGCACAGGAAGGCAGGCCTGAGCCCTGCGGCTGTGGGAGCCGATGCTGCTCCCCTGGTGAGACACGGGCATCCGGACGCTCGAGTTTCCACAGCTTTTCGTTTTCTTCCATCTGGCCTCAGAAAGGCATTTCCATTTTGATGTTTCAGGATTGACTGGTAGACGGCAATGTAGCTTTCACCTTCCTTATGCAAACTGCTCAAGTTTGTGTGTTTATTCAGAAGACTTTTTCACCCAAGGACAACGCCTGTCCACAGCGCCCTCGCCGGGCCCAGCCCCGCACCCTGCCCGACTGTGGTCCTCCCTAACCCTCAGGCAGCAACCACACGGCTACGGCTTTTGTCCCACCTGGTCTTAGAAGGTTAAGTCGGAGAGAGTGTCGTGAGAAGGGTTAAGTCACCTTGTCGTCCTACACTGGGGTGCAGCGTCCACCAAAATTCACGTCTGCTCAGAATCTCAGAACGCGACTTATTTGGAAATCGGGTCTTCGCAGACAGAATTAGCGAGGATGAGGCCACGCAGGGTGAGGGTGGGCCCTGACTCCAGTGACTGGGGTCTGCTAGGCCACATGAAGGAGAAGGCCGTGTACACAGAGGCAGAGATCCGAAGTGATACGGACACAGCCGAGGACAGACACGGAGGCCACAGAAGGTGACAGAAGGTCAGAGTGCCAGCAGCCACCACAAGCTGGAAGAGTCTGGAACGACCTCCTGGGAGCCTTCAGAGGCAGCGTGGTCCTGCAAATGACACGTGGCTTCTCTGAAAAGCACGGAGTCCGCCCTCTCTCCCCTCAGGATGCAGGCAGAGGACACGGACGCCCCTCGGGGCGAAGGGCGGGGCTGCCCCAGCGTCCTCGGCGCTCTGCAGAGGCCCATCAGGGCAAGCAACCTGGAGAGCTGGCTGCCGCCCGCCGTCCACGTCAGAGCCCACGGCCAGGACAGAGACCAGAGTGGCCAACAGTGACGCCGTAACACAGACGTGGCAGCTCTGGGTTTTGTATTAGTGAACAGCACGGAGGCTGAAATGGTGCCCTTCGTGGGTGACGCCACCTTCTCTCTTCCGAGAGTCCCAACACACTACATTGACAAGAACATTGCTTCCCCACGTGAACCTTCACAGGGAAGAATGTGTGATGACACGTTTATTGTAATAATTTCAAAACGTACAGAAAGGAGTCACCCAAACTCATTCCCAGAGCCGCCCGTCAGTGTTTCCAAAACCCCGACGTGTGAGCGCTGCCACGCACGTAGACACAGCTGGACAAACTGAGCAGGCTACGGGGCTGCTCTGCTATTTGCCGTCTTAACGCGACAAGATGCCACGTACATATGCCACGCCAATAAATACCGATCCGTATCACCGTTTCCAGTGGCTTCATGTTATCTTATGAAAAGAATCTATTAACCGGGCCTGTATTTTCTGTCATCTGCCCTCTACAAAGTCCTTCACAGACATCTTTGTGCGTAATTTCTCACACTCCTCAGATACGTCGCTGACGCTGAGACTCCGTCTCCCCAGCCCCGACACTAACGAGTGAGGACAGTATTTAAAGGGAAGTGAAAAGCCAGCCTCGTCCCTGCACTGAGATGCCCCAAAGTCCCAGACCCTACTGGGTGCCAAACCTGGTGACGCGTGCGCACCCCACACCGAGGGCAGGGAGGGTCTGACTTCAGAAAGGTCAAGGCCACTCACCGCGTCGACCATTAAAGGAAAAGGGCAAGGCAGGACTCAACGCCCAGGTAAGTTTAGAACCTCGGCCCATCGGAGACGGAAGGGCCCGTCTGCAACCCGGAGCTGAGCTCTGGGGCCTCGCCTCCCACCAGCAGCTCCCAGGGCGGCTCTGGCTGAGGGGCCCTCCCCTCCCTGCCCCCTCTCTGCCCCCTGAATTCAATGTCCCAGCCTGGGCTCCTGTCCTTCACGGGCACAGCTCAGAGACACGTGTCCCCACGGCCATTTCACATACAGGTGGCAGCCACTTCCCTCACCGTGTCCACCCTGTCCTACACCTGAGGGGGACGTCCTGGACCCGCCCTCCCACTCTCGCGCCCCAGCTCCTGGACCTGCAGAAACAGCGCAGCTCCCAGGCACACGACCGGATTCCCGTCTGCACAGGAAGGAGCCTCCCGCGCTCCCAGCAGCCGCTCAGCTGAGCTGGTTCCTACAAACCCAGCCGCCGCCACTCTGCGCCGCCCCTCACCGCGGGCTGTGCTCTGTGCCGCCGGCCCGGGAGTGACCACCTCCGCACTCTTCCCCGTCCACAAAGCCCCTTCTCAGGATGGGGAACCTGCGTGGGTGTGCGCAGGGCTCCTGGTGATTGCAGACCCCAGGCACCATCTCTCTCCCAGCTCCCAGCATCGAAGACGGGGGGACGCCACCCTGACAACTTCGCTAGGACAATTTGTTCTTTTGTCCGGTAGCTCAGCAAGTTTTCTTTCCTCTAGACACTAACGTTCGAGCTTAATTCTTTCTTTTCTTTTAACCAAACATCCCCAGTTGTGTCTTTTCCCACCCATTTTGCTGGGAACTTGCTGTGCCCTGTGACCCGCAGATTTCTCTCCAGCTCAGGAGATTCTTTCCCGTGGTTTGCTGAACTCCTGCCTCTCCGTCCATCCACCGGCCCGGGATTTCCGCCTTCTGGAAGTCCTGGCACTTGCTCGCTGGGCCGGACCGTCCGAGCAGCCGCCCGTGCCTCTTTCACGACTTCTTTTATTTTGTGTCGCGCCACACCGCAGTCCTGTTTTACATACGTGCGTTCCCTTCGATGTGGCCAGTGTGTGACTAACGCCTTTGAGCAGATACTTAGGCTCTTGGGTTTAAGACCCCACGTGTCGAGGCAGGATGAGATGAAGGAGAGTCCCGCTGCCTGGCGAGAGCAGGCGCGACGCACCAGGCTGAGGCCCCCTTGGCGGTGGGACCTGGGCAGCCACTGCTGAGCCGCAGCCGTGCCGGCGAGGCAGGAAAGGTAATCCCCGCTGCCTTCCCGCCCGACTCTCAGCTGCCATGTCGTCCCAAGGACGGGAGGACCCTAGAGAAGCACCCGGCACCTGCCCGGCACGCCGGGAGCACACAGCGCACGCTGCTCGCGGGAGGGGACGAGGCTTCGAGTCTCACGTCTAAGGGAACACTCACTTTCAAAAGCTCACTCTGTGAAATAAAGAAACGTCTGAGCCACCATCCTGTCCAGCAATACCCTTTATTCCACGCCAGGAACCCCTCACGCAGACTAGCGACCCGCACGTACTTTATTCTCAGCGCCGACACGCTCGCACGCACACCCGGGGCTGCGGTGCAAGACTCGCTCTAGTGATGGTGCTGCTTGAACTGGAGCCCACAGTAACCACACGTCCCGGTTTTTGTTTCTTTGTCCTGAAAAAACGCAAAAGAAATGATCTCACATTTCCACAATCTACTCCAAATCTAACATATTACACATCAGAAAAATATGTATAAAACCTGAAATTCGAGGTAGTCCGGAAAGTATCCAGCCGCTGTTAATGTAATGAGAACGGTTTGCGTGACATGGGTGTGACCTGGCAGCCACGCAGAGTGGGCTGGGACGTGTCTGCATGAGCAAGGACGACCTCACTGCACCAGTCAGGGGCGCTAGACGCCGCTGAGCGAGCGCGTGCACGAGCGCGTGCACCGTGTGGCCGCCGCATTCTAAACGAGTAGAGCAACGAATCTGCATCAAATTTTGCGTGAAGCTTGAACAATCCTCCGTGGAAACTGCTGGGAGGATTCGGAAGCTTTCGGGGATGACGCAAGGAGGGCAGCGCAAATAAAAGTGCGGCACAAACGCTTCAGAGATGGTCGAGAATCTGTTGCAAGTGACGCACATTCTGGAAGGTCTGCGACAAGCAGAGCACGGGGAATGTGAACCTGCAGGGTCAGGGTAAGAGACCCGGGAGGACTGTGTGAGTCCCAGGGTGCCTGCGTTGGAGGGGACTGAGCCGTCACTGTCCTACGTACAATGTTTCTTGTATCTTCTTCAATAACTGTCCCTATTGTTCCTATCACACGGCTGGACACTCTCCGGGCAGAGCTCGTACACTGTCAACTAGCAACCCTGGTACAAAGAGGTTACCACTGAGCCAAGAACTATGACTGTCCATCCCGGCTCCACCCGGACCTGCTGGCAGCCCTGGGAATGAAGCTCCAGCCTCAGGCTCCTACCCTGGGACTCACGGCCGCCCTGCAGGACTGCCACGGGCATGGCTGCCGCCCACCAGCGCTTCTGGCACCTTCCCTACAACCCACCTACTCTCCACACTTCACCTGCCTGGAGGGGCTGGTGGGTGATGCTGGCAGAGGTTGCAAGCCGCACCCGGACACAGCCCCCAGGGCAGGTCCCGGGAGGGCACAACTGGACACAGTGGGGGTCCTGCCTGGCTGCTTCGCAGTGCATGCCGGCCACGTCGCCCCCTTTCAGGACAAGCATCCAAGACACGACGGCTTTTAGAGAATGTCACCTCTGATGAAGACAAAGTCCCACCAGCCAGCGACTATGCTTTAGTAATAACGCCCAGAACAGCATGTCCTCACTAGACACGCTGCGGCTGCTCCCCGCCCTTCCTGTGCGCTGTGCCACGTCCACGCTGTGTCCCAGGGTTTCCTTCTCAGCCCTGTGCCTGACACTTGTCAACAGACAGGAAAGATTACAGAGGGACCATCAGAAAACAAACAGTGCCTCCCCAAAGTCCTATGCCAGTGTCCTAGGCCCCGGCGTGACTGTACTGGAGACAGGGCCTGTGTAGAGGGGACTGAGGTTAAATGAGGTCGTGAGGGTCCATCTGCTCAAAGGAGATGAGGACACAGACACGCACAGAGGGACGACCCTGCAAGTACACAGGGGAAGGCGCCGTCTACATGCCCAGGGAGGCCTCGGGAGGAACCCGCCAGCGGACACCCTGATCTCAGACTTCCAGCCTCCGGGACTGTGTGAGAACAGATTTCTGTGGTTTAAGCAGCCCGGTGTGTGGGACTCTGTACGGCAGCCCAGCAGGCCGAGACGAGGACCAAAACAGAGCGGTCCAGAGAGGAAAACACACGCCCGCGTGTGAGAAGGGGAAGGTGGACGTCCACGCCAATCCGACTAAACACACCGTTCCACTCCACAGACGAGAAACTGTTTTCACTTGGTCCCCGTAGCACGCGTCTGCGGGGTGAACATGCAGCGGTGTTAACGCCACAGGGCCACCTCAGGAGAGGCGCACAGGAGGGCGGAAGGTCGAGGCGGCCAGGGGCAAAGCGGGCCCTGAGGACGGCCGGCCGGCGGCTACGCACCAGGTTGATGTACACCTTCGGGTGGCCCAGCGCGCCCCCACCGCCGTCGCAGGCTATCACCCGGCTCTCCACCGCACTCACGGGCTGCTCTGCTATCAGATCAATGGCAAAGTTTTCATTCACCTGGAGCAAGAAGAAAAGAAGAACTGACACACACAAACACAAAACCTGCTGACTTCGTCCCGCTGTGCAGATGCCCCCAAACTCACGTGCTGTCAGCCCTGCTCTGCACGTTTCCGATAAATACCAGCACAGGCTGCCAGAATACACAGACAATTTAAACACAGGTTCACAGGCGCTTACTTTCCACCCCCACAGAAACAAGAATTAGAACGATCTGCTCTCTCCGTCCTGTCCCTCTCTCCCCACGCGCACACGCTTTCTTCCAGCCCATCTGAGCGCACGGACCACACGGGCCCTTCCCTCGTTCGCTCCCGTGTGTACGTCATAAGAGTATCATCTCACGTAACCGCGACACAGTTATCAACCTCAGTAAACGCAACGCCGACGTAATAGATTCATCTGAAACACGGAAGATGCCGCCCACGTGGCTGTTGTCAGAGCCACGCCGTCCACCCAGATCCTTGTTTGAGTGGTTTTATCACCGATCCTCAGGGGTTTTAGACATAGATTCAGTTTTCCTACTTTTTCCTCATTCTTTGCCTGTACCAGGTTAAGCAGCACTAGACTGTGGGCATCTGTGCCGTGTTCCTGACCGGGGGAAAGTCTTAGTGTGCTTTTGTATAATGCAGGTTTTAACACTGAAGCGAAACACACATCATCCTGTCAAGGAAGTATCTATCAATTCCTGTTTTCTCAAGAGTTTCAAGTTAGAAATGGGTGTTAAATTTTGTCAAAGGCCTTTTCAGCATTTACGGACATATTGTGTGACTTTTCTCTGCAGACTCACTGATCTGGGAAGAAGCATCAGTAGATTTCCTGGCATGAATTCCAATCGGTCAGGGCGATTTGCTTCCTGACGTGGCACTGGAGTGTTCACGACCTCGTATGCAGGACTTTTCCATCAATGTCCACGGTCTATTTCTGTCTAGTAGCCTTAGGTGCCATAAAAAGAACCTCTAAGTTCCCCTTCACGTTCTATATTCCGAAAAGAGCTGCGTAGTACCAGGATCGCCTCATGCCTAAAGGTCTGGCAGAACGTCCCTACGACACACCGTCTGGACCCGGTGTTATGTGAAGGTCATTCCTTAGGAACTGTCCCCATCTCTCCTGTGGAAAGTGGCCTGTTTCAGCTTTCTCCCTTTGCTGGGACCAATTCTGGTAAATTGTATTTTCCTACAAAATTTTCCACTTCATCTAAATTTTCCAATTTATTTGCACAGAAGTGTGCAAATGTCCTATCAATAATTGTTTCCCTCTGATCGCTTACTTTGTCTGTGTATTCCACCTTTTCAGTCGTGCGGTTTCATGATTAATGATCAGTGGTTTATTTTATCAATTTTCACAAAACCAGGATTTTGACTTACTAACTTATCTACCCATATGTTCTATTTAATTAACTCTGACTTTATCATGACTACTCCCCTTTCTGCTGTCTTTTGATTGACCTTACAGTCTCTTTCCTGGTGTTACGATTTGGAAATCTATCAGGTTGTAACACCCGGCACCTACTCAGAGTTAGCTCACTGACTACACGGCTCTGCTCTTTTGTGACCTTACTTATGTTCTGTCCACGTGATGTGCCCTGTACCTCAGGTGGCGTGTCCTCGGGAAGGCACCTGCACTCCTCCCGCACACGCACGGTCTCTGCATCAGGCGGTGACCGCGCTACTGGGTACACAGCCACGCATAGCCATCACCTACTCACTGGGAACGTGGCCCGAAGTGTCCTCCTTTGTCTACTGTTTGGGCTCGAATTCTACTTTGTCCAGCATCGCAATCACGCCGACACCTCCTCGTTTTCCTTTGCCGGTCACTCTTGGGGCCTGTCCCTCAAACACAGCACGACGTCCATCGACAGGGAACTGCCGCACAGCCGTGGCAGAAACCGCCCCAGGGGGCACAGCGCAGCTCCAAAATGGGACGGGAAATCCCCCGCACACGCCAGGCAGGGCAGGAGGGTGTTGTCACTAAGCGACAGTGCCCCGTCGTCCACGCAGGAAGAGGAGGGCACGCTCACAGTTACTTATCTACAGAGTCAGGACAGACCTGTAGGAAGTTACTAACGGGAGGTGGAGAGAAGCAGTGGAGGAGAGGAAGGTGATGTGATGGTCAGGCTTTACTGAAGTTTTATAAATCTGACTTTGAAACCATGTTTATGTTTTCAAAGTTATAAAATTAAAACATTTGTAAATGAAATACAAAGGAAACAAAAAAACCTAAGCCATTGCAAGTAACGTAAAGCAGAGTAACAGGGACATCTCCAATAGCACACACATTAAGAACATGACCACTTGCAAAGTGAATTACGTTGTCACTGAAGCCAGGGCTCTCGGTGTGAGACCAGGAAACAGACACAGGATTAACTGGCTCAGTCACAGTCTCATGACCCCGAATTTAGCTGGAAGGATCAGTGCGCGTTCACCAAGTGTCTGATTTTCACGCGCCCCTTTCCAGCTCTGTCCACTGGGGAGGGTCGCCCCAGAGAAGGATCCACAACGCACAGTGTGCCCCACGGCCAGTGACGTGGTTGCTCACGTGTCCTCCTGCACGGCAGCCCCGCTCCAAACATCACACAATCCCCCGTCCCCAGCATCTTCCCTTCTGAAGCCACCTACGCGGTCACAGCCACCCCGCAAATGCACGCCTGGCTTCAGCAGGAGGCCCGCGGGGACCCCCGCCCTTCGTGGCGCATCTCAAAACCTAGCGTCTCCTCTGCGTCCTTCACCTCACCGCGTGGGGAACGGCAGCGAGCCAGGCCCTGCCAGCCACCCATCTCTGCAGGACGGGGCCCGTTCAGCCGCCGCACACGGCAACAGAGGACAGGCGGGCACCGCTTTCCCTTACAGCTTCAGACACGCTGGGAAGGCTGAACTGCGTTTAAGACGCCCCGTCAGTCGCACATCACAGTGCTATAAAGCGTTTCCTTAAAGAGCCACTTCCAGAAACACAAGAGGACACTCGTGGAGAGCGGGGCCGCGCTAGGCAGCACCGCGAGCCATGCAGGGCTCCTCAGTGTTGTTCTGCAAGCTTGAGACACAGGCCGCGGCGACGGTCTGGGGGCTCCCTGTGCCAGCACCGCACGGTGGCTGTGACTGAGGCACGTCCCGCTCACCCCTGCTGCCGGCGAGGCACTAGCCATACAAATGAAGCCTCATGGTGTGAATAATGCGGTGTCTGCCTAAGTGACAACGTGTCACAGAGGCCGCGCTAACAAACTGCCAGGCCCCGATCATGGCAGTCGGAGCCCGGCCACCTCCCCGCGGGAAGGCAGCTGACGCCTTGATGCCAGTGACTGACGCGGGTGCCCTCCCGTCATTTACGCGCGCAGCTCAAGGGCGACCCTGACCGCCCATCACCAGCGTCTGGGTCCGGAACTCATCAACCGCAGGAATACAAAGAACCCGCAGCGAACACACCCAAGCACAGCAAAGCCCACCCTGTGCTCAAACTCAGGCTCTGCCTCGCTGCTCCACCTAGGAAGGGTAAGAGGAGGAGAAAAGCACAGCTGGATTTTATCAGGAAATTAACGGGAGAATTCCCCGTTAATTCGTCACGGCAGCCCGTACACATCTCTTCAAGCACACGGCGTGGCTCGCGCCCTGCCTGTCCAACTGCTGTAAATGAGTCCTTCACACGTCACCCGTAAAGAGCAGGAAGCCACCTCTCCCACCGACCTCCTAACGATCAACTGATCTGGGCATGAAAACATTGGGGTTTAAGTTCATTTGTCACACCCTGTTCTTGCTCCAACTCGTACATCTCTGGGAGTGATGGCTCCTATGCAAAGTCCACTCCTTCACGTCAAACCGAGATTAAATCTCTTAAAGATAAAATATAAAGTATATAATTCTATGATATATCAAAACCAATGCAAAAAGGAAATATTAACCCAGCTAAGTATTCACTGTTCTATAAAATACCCCATTAATGGAACTTTATACAATTTATTTTAAACTTACAGCTTATAGCTCAGTTCGATCATCAGAATATCAGGTATTTTCAACATTAAAATCAATAACTATATTTAGCTAAACCTACGTGTGTACATCTGTCTATATATGTATATAATTTTCAAATCACAGGAAAAACCTGAAGTTTTCGTCCAAATTAAACTAAGTAACTTCACAGAAAATGCTCAAAACCACTAATTGGGCTGTTTGTAGGACGTGTTCAAACCTGCTTTGGGACGGATGGAGTCTTGCGGGTGCCCTGGAAGAGGAAGTATCACAAGACACAAAGACGCAGGAAGGAAGCAAGCGCGGAGTCCTGGAGCCACCCCGAGGGAGGAAATCAAAGCTATGCCTCGCCCTACCCACTAAGCCACCAGCATCCCAACCTGGGGGTTATGAAGAGCCCTCTGGGGGTTCTTCACAGTTCTTCTGCAAACCTAAAAGTGTTCTAAAAACTAAGGTCTCTTATAACCAAAAAATGCTACTAAAAATAGTACTAAACACCACATTTTTGTTGAAAGAAGGAACGCCTGAGCAGGGTACCTACTCACCGTGTTAACCAACATGCCTCATACCTTTACGTAAGGCCCTGACTCTGGCGCTCGATCAGGAAGGCACTGGGGAGGCTGAGGGCCCAGTGTCCAGGTTACGGCCAGGACGGCACCACAGCCCTCTCCTGCCTCCACCTTCGCTGGCGCCACCAACTCTGACTTTGCTGGGTTTAAGCTGCTTTCCTGTTGCCCTGTACTAGACCACCTAGAAACAGTCTGTGTACAGAGGGAACACGCAGACCGGGCTACGGGACTGGAGAACGTAGCGTGTGGAACAGATGCTCCCGCTGGGAATGCAATAACAACTCAAGAACAAACAGAAAAGAGTTCTGAGGACGCAGAGGACCCACCGTACGCCAACTCTTACTAGACGATTTACACGTCATCTCGCTGGAGAGCTACAATTCTATGAACAATACTCACATGGCTTCCACCTCACAAATGAGAAAACTGAACTGCAGAGGCATTAACCGATGCTGATTCAACCTCAACCGTCAGACTGCAAATCCGCATGGCCTCCACCCGACCAGAGGGGCAAACCCACCAGACACAAGCCCCCCCCTCCACGATCCTGGCAGACATCCCTGTCAGTCACAGCACACTCTGCCCCTGCACCTGGAGCAGGCTCCGGGACCCCTCTCAACCCAACACCCCGGCGGCGTCACCAAACAATCAGCCAACAGAATACAAACTTCTCTGCCACCCACTCAGACCACACGGCGGTCAACCAGCTGCATTTTGAGAACATGAATTTATGCTGAGCCAACTCACGACCTTGCGAGCTTCTCTAGAATGTCCCATAGCTCCTGAACGGAAGTAGAGAAACTAGACACCGGAAGGGACAATGTGACCAAGATCGAAGGGGAAGTGGGAGGGGGAATGACACAGGTAGCCGTGAAGGACAAACACAGACGCAGAAACATGGACGACAGCCTGCACCAACAGGAACGAGAATTCAGGAGACAGCAGACATGTGTTAGGGAGGGAGTTAGATAAGAAAACAGGCTTATTGAGGCCCAAGGATCCGGATCTCAACATTCTCTCTCCAGCAGCCACACTCAGAGGTGTCTGATTTAACTCATCTGCCTTCATAACGTGTACAACAGTTAAACCAACTCAGAGAAGAGCAACTCACGCGCCACTTTCAGCTTGTCAGTGTAAGTCCCTGTAAAAACACAGCCTAACGGGATCCATTTGTACTCACCATCAAATTGGTATTAACTAATCA